ACTTTACGGCTCACTAGCTCGAAACTAACAGAATCATAAATTCATGGAACTCAAAGTAACTACTGCTCTCTCTTCATTTAAATTTCCCCGCTGGCTTTCTCTGCCAGGCTTATATACTAATGAAGAGGGCATCTCCAACACACTCAGACTTCCCCCATCATTCGAGAAACTCATCACACACGATACCAGCATCACGTGACTTCCACTGTCGTAACAATATCAATCACATTACTAGAAATGAAGAAATAAGTGTTGAAACATTGTTTTGTTTGATGATTCTTTAAAATTATTCGACATCCAGACTATGTAATAAATCAGTTTATTTCCTCCTTTAACATTTCTATAAGCTTAAACACTGTGATAACTTGTAGGGAATGTTCACAGCCACAATAACTGTACTACATTAACATAAAAATAAAATGGTACAACTTCATGGCTAACCTTGTGTTTTTAATCTACTCACTGAGTTTATTAGAAATTTTGATGTTAAGATTGTTAGAACTTTAAAGCCTCACATTACTAAAATTTTTCATCTTAATGTCATGCATCCTTTAGCCAATATTTAGCTTACAACATAAAAAAAAAAAGCTTACAAGTTTTGAAATTGCAGACCTGTATGGCTGACACTGATTAATCCATAGTACTATATTATAATATTGAAAGTCTCATCACCATGTTACAAATCTAGATGTTAAAAACGTAACTGGTATCATATCATCATTGCAAAAATGAAACATTACTACACCCAGCATGGAAAAATTAGTATTATTGTTAGATGTTAACATTATAATACTAAATTATACGAATAGACTTTCTATTCTTATCTTTACTCATTCCCTAGTGTTTTTCAAATTTTGTAACAGTTATTACTATTGAAAGCTTTTTTTTCAAAATAAACTGATGTCATCGTAATTTTTGTATTGTTTGACTTTAAATGTTTTTCATTAAAAAATATTTAGAAAATGCTACATTTTAAATTTGGCTAAATATACATTTGCTTAATAAATAAAATGAAGTATTACCTCCCCCTTGTTGGTTGAAAAACAAGTGAATAATCACATAGTTAAAGATACAATACCTATGGCTCCAACATTGTCATAGAAACATTTGTGAACATTCTAAACAATACTGAATTGTCTGGGATACCAAACTCTGAAAAAGTGTACACAGTATTGTTGCAACAGGTCAGTCATAAGTTAATAAATCTTAACATTACTCAATGCAGATGAATAATTGGTGTATATTTTTGTGTACATAGTTTAGGATTGAAAAAGTAACTTAATTCTAAGTTGTTGTACATTGTACCTGAATTCTAAAAATAGTATTTCCTCTTGTCTTCTATAATTTGAGATAAAAATTTTCAAGTCAATTTTACATGTTATTTCTTAGTAAATTTCAATGATTTTAACTTGGACATATTTTAAAATTGGTATTTTGTCATTTCCCAACATTCACTTAGTGTAATTCGGGACAAAGTTCTTATTTCCATTTCTCCACAGTTGAAAAGAGTTTTGCTTATAAATAACTCAATTGTCAATTTTATTTGAATTTTTCTGACCATTTCAAAGAATAACTATTTCTTCTAAGAAACTACCACCCCTTGATAAAATATATACCATATGTTGATTTTCAAGTTTCGTTTAGTTTTTGGACAGGCCATCGTCGCCACCTTGTTATGGTACCACTTTAAGTACTCTGATCATTTACTAATGAAGCATCTTTAGAAACAGCTATATATTAAATATGATTGGATAAAGCAGGAATTAAACTATTACATCATAGTAAATATATAGGTTTAAGGTTTTTTTTGTATACCTTCTGCAAATGTTGCTTTCATTTGTGAATTGTAAAAGTGTTTGAAAGCTACAGAAAACATTTCAGTGAGAAGACATTAGATAAGGTAAGCTTATATAATTTAGAGATAGATTTCTTTGTTACCAGTTAAACCTACTACAAATTTAACACAGTTACAAATGTCCAGTGTTTGAAGAAGATTTTGTCATCAACAAGTATAACTGCTTAAACTAGACACAGGAATATATACATATATATAGTAAAACATGGCTGAAAAGTGCTTAACCTTAATAAAGGTGTCTTGTTAATGTTAGTTTTTAAATTATGTTTTAATAGATATATCATGTTTTTTTAGTTACATTTTTAGGTACATTAGTTAAAATATTCATGAAACCAGATAAGCTTAGTTTAGTGAGTGTGGTGGATGGGTAGGTTTGAGAGCTTTAATGGTCTGCAACTGCCTATTAAAAGAAAAGACAATCATGTTTCAGCTTTTTCAGTATGGTAGGTGACTCCAAAATATTCTGATGGCTCAAGTCCTGTTTGTTGAATATCATTTTTATGTTTATCCCATTCAATGTACATAAATAAACTGGCTTACTTGTTATTTAATTATTTCAAACTGAATTTTGATATGTTTTAAATAAAAACATTATTAACATTATCAGTGGGGATTACTGCATAATTTAGAAACAAAATTGTGACTATATGTTCTTCTATAGTTGACAATAATGATCCCTTTGGCAAGTTGGAAATGTCTAGATTATCTATAAAAGAAAAATTAGGTCAAATACTTTTTTTTAACAAAAACATGTATTTTTGCAAAATGACCTCCAGAAGAGAACATTTAAAAGCTGTCATCTCATTGTCTTCAACAATAAATAACTTTGGAATAAGAAAACCTTTAGTGCTTAATCATCATTCAAACATTTTGCTTACCTTTCACTTAGGTAAAACACTCATTGTTTTGACAACATTATCATCTAGCTATTTCACTTAAACTATTTTAGACTTCTTAATTTCTTTTTTTAGGCAAATCCATAGCTTTCACATAGTTATGTTAATCTTCAATCCTATTTTTCAATTTAAACACCTTAAACTTGTAGCATTTATCTGTGATTTTTCTCTTTTAGATCTTAATGAACCAGTTTTTCAGAAAATACTTATCTTGAACTAAAATTATTTTCAAATATTTCCCAAATCTCTCCCAATTCACTAAAAAAATTATAAATCTTGTCTCATGAACTCAAAAATGACTTTTTGAAAATTAAGAACTTTCATACCTTTTTACTTCATTGTGAAGCAAAACAAAGAACCTCATTATGCAATAATCTCTCTTCCCCAAATGTTCTCCTACTGAAGCATTAGTGGTGAACAATAAATCCAAAATGGCATAACTTCCATGTGACTCTTTACCATCTTACCGTTTGAAACCACACATTCTATTCTCAAGCAGTGTATGGAATTAATCTCCAATAATTATTGTACCAGTAGTCTTTTTAGTAGCAGCCCTGATCTCACTATATATTTTATAATTTACCCCTTCTGTCTTTTCGAGTGGACTATAAGAACTGCCAATAAACAAGCTATTATTCTAGAAACTCCTTTACTGTAACTCGTATAAATTTAATCTCTTGACAATAATTTCTTTGTATATTCAATCTTAGCAGTTCATCCTTTGTATAAAGACAGGGATTAAAATATTACATTCCCAGACTTCTGCGAAACTTAACTTTACTTGAGGAATTTCATCTTTATAGTCTAGCTTTCTCAATCCAGAATGGATGGACCATCTGTATTTTTTTTTATGACCAATGAATGTTAAGATATTGCATGGATTAAAAGACAAAACAACAACAACAACAACAAAAATTCATGAGGAAATGCAACTTTCCCTTGAGTGAATATAATTTTATTTCATTATTCCCTGCCTAACCTAACCCTCACTTAAAAATTCTATCACTATTAAATAACTTATAACATTGGCCAGGGAATTTCAAAATATTTCCTATTATATTCTACAAATCTCACCAAGTTTCAATAATTCCCATACGACTGTAGTTCTCTGTTTCAACTAGAACCCTTTAATCATCTGTTTTGTTGCTTACACTCCAAATATTAGAATAACCGGTAAGAAGTTCACTGTTGCTTTTATTATGTTTATCCTTTTATATATACACACGAGACTTGTTTTTACAACTACTTTTTTAAGTTGTTGCATCTACATGTAGCTTTTCTAAACTTTTTGTTGCCATAACTATCCTATCAAGTTGATATTTCAATATATAAAATAATTTAAGTTTTATTTAAAGAAGTAGGCAGCTACAGAATAATACATACGTAATAGTGTGCCAGTGTTGGAAGTGTTCTCAAAAAGGAAAACAAAATTAGTAATCATTCATAACTGACATGATGACCATTGTTATGTAGAAGAAATATATGAAATATCAAAGCAATGGGAATCTACTTGGCACATTAACATTAATCTATCACACACACACTCATGCATAAACAAGAAACAATAAAAGCAACTCTAAAATAAAATGAGATTTGTCATATACAAATACCACTAATCCAGTGATGCAAGTTACTGTTATTTTCAATAACCAAAAAACAAAAATCACACACAATGATAATTTATACTTCCTACAATTCATATGGCAATTATTATTTTGAAAATTAGCAGTCACTTGGAATACTGCATACAGTTTCGGTATCCTTACCTAAGAAATGATATTGATTTATTGGAATGGATTCAGCAGAGGATTACAATGATAATTCCAGGGAGGAAGGGTTACATAAGGATAGGTATTTTCTCTTAGAAAATATGGGTTAGAGGTGACCTTATTGAAGTTTACAAGATTATCCAGGGGATTTATAGGATAAAGGACACTGAATTCTTTGTTGCATTCCACAGACAATATGATAATTGGTTACAACTTTAAGATTTGGAAATAGTTTTATTTTTCTAAGATGGTAATTGCCCTATGAAGTGAGTTGTAGTCAGCAGCAGTGGAGGCCAACACTTTATATATATTTCCTGAGAAATAATGGATGGGTTTATATTTCTGGCTTTTCTCAAAGGTGTGTCTCTCTCTCTGTAGGTACAACCTTGAAGAACCAAATGGTCCCTTGGATGCCCACATGTTATGTTTTGAGGTGTCTTTCAAACAAATGATTATTTGCAGTCAAAAATGTAATCAATATAATTAAGAGATTGTTACTGGTAACACAACAGTAAGACACTACAATAAATAGTTATTTTGCAAAATAATTTCTTTTCACTTCTTTTTAATATAAACATAAATTGAAGGTAGTACTTGTTACTACCTATACTAAACAGATAGATTGAAAACTTGAACAACATTCAATAACAGTATAATAGAACATTATCAAAATTGACAATTTTACTGTAAAATGCACTACGTTTTGATACAACTTAACAAAAATGTATTTTTACAAAAATGTTATTTCAACTGTTCTTGGTATTTGACAGGGTTCTTCTCCATCTACTTCTTAGAGCTGTTTTCCCGGTCTTAACCATCTCCCCACTCTTGTTCTCAATTTTTTCAGGATTCTGTTCAACTATACTGTATAGCTTTTCTAAGTGTGGCAATCTCATCAGAAGAAGCGACTCTTTACTGATTCAAACTCACTTTTAAGTCACCCAATCACATTAAAAAATACTTATTCATATGACTGGCCTCCAGCGCAACATTTTTTTTTGCTAGCCATTTTGTAGATTGTGTGCTATATAAAGTGAAGAGAGTATGTTTCTGCTGCTTGCATCTGTATATCATCAAGATTTTCAAATTCTACATTCATTACATGGTCAACAGTTAATACTGGATTAAAAGTTGCAAAGACAGACATGCATGTACCAGAAGGCAGTTAACCAGTACGTACTTTCAGCATGTTCAGTGGTATGCCCCTAGCATACACTGCTCTTATTGTTAAGCTTAAAGATTATTTTGTTGCTTTTGAAGTTTAAAATGACATAACCGAGGAAGCAAGTTTATATGGCTATGGTCATGCAGCATTTGATCCTGACAAGCATCTTCAGGACATTCTGTAACAATCTTCCAAAATTTAATATTACTAGCCTTTGCTTTCTACCAATAAGCTGATTTTCTATCAACCTCTAAAATTTAAAAATATTTCATAAGCATACAACGTATTAATTAAGCTATTGTGAAATACCTTATACAAAGCTTCCAAAAGTCAAGACATATAACATCAACTAATGAGTTTTATCTAAAGAGCCAATGGCCCATTATAAAATTTCATCAATGTGCATTGCTTTACATTTCAGTGTTGAAACTCATTTTCTACAACGTGATACAGCAAAACTGAGTCACTTTTATTTAATAAAAGAAATAATGTCAATAGATTCAGCCTTTTACAGAATCTAATTCAGTAGAGAAGTTTTAAAATGTTATAAACCTATTTTTTGACATGACTAAAAAACAACAAATACAATAAAGCAGACCTTCAATAGCCACAGTCTTTCAAGGGGAAAAGAAAATGCCTATTTTCTCACCACCTTTTGTTTACTAACACTAGGTCAATTTTTAAATTCACTTTCTTACTTTTCTTTAATCCCTTATACAAACTTTTCAAATTAACCTCTTATGAAAGTATCTTCACAAAATTTGGTAGACTTTTAGTATAGATTACAAGTGTTTCATATATAAAAATCAGATTTTTTAATGAAGTATATTTTTTATAGATTTGTTTGTGAAAATATCGAGTCTGTTTCATTACCAGTCCAAGTGCAAATTGATTTTCATGTTATAACTACTGTTCATTCCAAAAATCTCAAATATTATTTGTGTAATCTCCAAACCTCCTAAATACATTTTGAATGTTTATTTTCAGCAAAACTTTATTTTTTCTGCCTTAACTCTATGGGATTTGTCAATTTGACCAGCTATGTAACTACCATAAAAAAATTAGGAAATGAATTTAAATTATGCTTTTTTTTTGAGTGACTACAGATTATAACATAAAAACACAAATGTTTAGTGTAAATAGCTTAAATCTCATAACATTATATATATATATATATATTATTTTTATTATATTGACCTTTCAGCCATGCCTGGCTAACAATACAGAAGTTACAATGACATGGCACACGTGCACTCATGTTGTTAAGCCTTATCAAATTTTGCATGTGGCGGATGTGAAACAAAATTTTTTTTAGGTTTTATATATATACATACATTTTGAAATAACCAAAAATTATGAATTACTATATCAATACCATAGAATTCCATTATAATTTATCAAACTTAGTAACTAAGCTGTATTTGGGTCTAAAAACATATGAAATTTCGAGCTTATTAAAATCTTACCTTTTTGCTTCGAATCTTGCATGAAAAGAAAGTTTGCTGCCCGAATACTTCAAAGAGGCTGAGAAAGCCACTAGGGGACATTCTGAGCTTTTGATTGGTTATTCACACATCATAGACAGAAGTAGGTGTACGAAAGCATTTCCAAAAAAATGGAAAAAGATGGGTGGGGCTACTATATTTGATTCAGTAAATGTAGCAATATCTCAGCAAATAGAAAAGAGATGAGGTTCTCATTTTATATTCTAGCTTGTCAATATTAATAATTTTAGTTTTTAATTCATAAGAAACTATAGAATTTGTATTTGGATGTCACAAACATCTAATTTGAACCAATGCTGCATTCAACATACCACGTGAAACACAAAAATCAATATTCTAGTGTGTTTCTTTAATATTTACTTTTAAATTAAGAAATTAACTAATGTATAATACTAAAATTTTAATTATAATCTACAATTGGATACCAAACTTATTGGCATAAATTCCTAAAATAATAGTTCAATAAAATTTTGAATGAGAGTCAACAAACGCGATGACATGGCCTTTGACCAGTGTCGATAGAATTAACAAAAATAAAGTATATGCAATAAAAACAAATATCTATGGTTTTAAGTCTTATTACTTTTTCTTGGATATACAAGTAGCTTCCAAATGATTTATTAAGAAGAAAATATATGCAACATAATTTTCAAAAATGAAAATGGCAAGAAAAGTATACACCTGGGAAAGTTATCTAAATGAATACATAAAACTGTTTTGTATGTTACGATAATAAACCCAATAACATGGAACACCTACCTACAGTCAAGACGCAATTGTTCTAGTGAAGCATTTTTTGCCCTTACTGCTTCCTCTGGTTTTGAAAATGTGATGAAACCATAACTAAAGAAGAGTACATAGTGTAGGCTATCACCTGATTTTTACAACTTTAATAAATATCTAGTTTATAGTTTTTTATTATAGAGATTGTTTTACATTTTTAGCTTTATATATGAATTTAGGACTAACCTATATCTCCTAAGCTGGCTGGACCCATGAGTTTTTACTGGGTTTACGTCCAAAAATACCAACTGATGAAATAATGCATTCTAATCTTTATAACTAAGAATATGAGATAAGTAAATTTAATTAGACACACTCATAATTGGGTAAATTTTTAGTTTTGATTTAAGTAGGTAGCTTTCTTTGACTAGGAGTTAATACCAATAGTTATAAATAAGCCAATTATTAACTAATTATTTGCATATCAAGCATAAGTTTTACTAAGTTACTCAAGAACTTCATATAACTAGAAATAAATTCTCAAAGATAACAGTCACACTTAAGGACTAAAATAATATAAAACAACTACTCTAAGTGTACACATACTGCAAATATCCAACTATATGATCTTTAGTGTATATAACTTCTGTACATACACACTTATCTGACACTAAAATATTTTCACTGAATTTAAATACTATTTATAATGCAATAAATAATGTTAGTTGTCATTAGGTAGCAAACTACTTATAATCAGCTCAAGACTACAGATTTGATTTATACTCTTATAAGACTATTTGCTGTTAGCAATATTCTCCTTAAGAAGTATTTACATTTAAAATTTCTATTACTTTACCCCACCTAAATGAGGCACTTCACTTTTGGGCTTTTGTACTCAAACTGAAATATTAAATTCAAAATGCATCTGAGAAAAATAACCTAGTTTCACATATTTGTAAATCTCTAATCTATATGAATTTTTTTTTAATTCACAAAAACCACATTATAAAAAACATGATTAAACAATAAGACCAAATTAAAAGTAAGTTGTACAAAACAACCTTTCTGTAAATTTTCATTAAAATAAATGATTTAATAATAGTACTAAATTTTAAAAATATTGTTGTATACAAGTAAAACGTTCCAGAACCTTTACAAATATATTGTAACTCAATAATGTTAACAAAAAAAACTAGTGCAGAAACATTTTAACACAGGCATTTCCCTCATTCAGAGATGTCTTGATGAGTGATAGGGGTCAGATATAAAAAATACAATATTTATCCGGTTTTTGTGAAACTTGTACAGGATGTATCATACAATGAGATAACATGATTACAATTTACAGTTTCCACATCTAATAAAAATTGACTAATTTATGACTGGCCACATCAGCAGCAGAAATGCCATAGTTAATGGTCTAACTGATGAGTTCATTATGTAATCCTATTTTTTCTTCACCCATCATTTCATCTATTTTTGAGACAAGAGTCCAGGAGATTTTCAACAGACAGCTCGAAGCCTTGATTACTGTAACTGGAAGTTTGTTACTCTCCTGCCTGTTACCATCATTCTCCTGAATTACCCCTTCACAAGATTCCAAGATGTTAAATTTGCTACCTGAGCAGCCACTGTGGATACAATCATGATGTACTTTTCAATAGCCCTTGTTGAAGCAAACACATCTATCAAGGCCAAAGAAACTGTGGAGGCACCCAAAAATAGGTTTGATGTTGAGAAGAGCAAGTAATGATAGTAGCAGTAGTAGTAGCCTTCTGCCAGATCAGAAGATCAAAAAACTAGGTCTCCAACATCAAACAGACAAAGGTTACATCATTTTAGTTGATAAAAAAAAAGAAGAGATAATCAATTACTCTATGTGACCATTGCTGGTAAGATAGTGTGGCTACTCCAAAACACTGAAATAAGCTACCAACATATAGATTACACATTTAGAGTTAGAAAATTCCAGACTTTTCAACAGTGTTTGCAACATCTCAAAGAGACAATTACCAGAATTTTTTGTTCCTTAATCTGCCACCCAGGATCAGTATTTCACTTCTGGTTGAGCGAGAGATCCCATGTTAAACATAATTCAAGCATTTTTTGTTAACATTTAAAATGCATCTGTGATGCTAAAATCTTAAATTAATTTTCAGAAAGCAAGCAAAGAACTTTTATTACACCAGTTCTTCACAGAACAAAATGTCACCTCAATAACATCTTTTTCAAACTAACTCGTATGTACATACTTAAAACAATTATAATTTTCTTTCTAAAAAAAAAAAAGCACCTACCCTTTTGGTCTTTTCTTAATGTGATCTTGTACAATAACACACTGTACTACTGTTCCAAACTGACTGAAGTGATCTGCTAGTTCTTTCTTTGTTACCTATAAAACAGGACAAACCTTCAACTTCCTACACCATTACAATCAAAGATCTATTGTTAATAAGATCTAAAATTAATAGGGGTAAAGCCGGGAGAGGATACTTGAAAAAGTTGAATGGTAATTTGTAAAATACTGAGTAATGTGGAGAGCAAAACATGCCTAATGTGAGTTTAGCACACTTTGTATTTGTTAACTGAATGTGCATGGGCTCAGTCCGTTGTACCAACCCCATATTGGAGAATGTTTACTATAATTCTGATTTACTATATGTAGCTACACAAAATACAGCAAGCTTTAAGTAAGATGTACAGGTCTGTTGTACATAAAAAAAATCAGACATGTTACCCAAGTATTTGTACTCAAGATATGTCTGTGAACTTATGTCAGTCTGATTCAGAATTTTAAAAAGTCAGAATGTAAGGTGATGTTCACATTAAGAAGAAACATACTTTTGTTCATCATACAATTTGTATATTGAATTTGCATAACCTCTAGAACCTTCAAAATACATATCTATATTTTTTCAGTATCTCTGTATACTGTATCTGGTATTTACTCTCCTCTACCATGAATTGTTGTTAAATCAGCAATGTAGGGAAAAATAAGTAATTGATAACTCTGACATTAAATGCATAATACCATGTTGAATGACACTTTGTAAAAGGTCATGGCATGTACACTTTGAACCACATCCATATACATAAGGTTAACAAGTTGTATGAATTGTATGATCTATTGTGCTTACACAAAGGTATTATATATATATATAAACACACACACCTTAATAATTTCTACAACATTACACAAAAAAGAGAGTTGCATCTTCAAAATTATAGAATAAAAATACTCCCATATTACAAGACATGATAAATGTAATTACACACAAGCATCAAAGAAACATTCTTCTCTGTGACTGTCAAGTTCAAATAAGCAATCCTGCAAATGAAGAAATATTTTCATCATAAAGAAAGTTTGCAACATAATCTTTGAGGATAGAAATTCTTGTATAGTCTTCTCTCTGTGCAAAAACGTCCTTTAATAATTACTTTTCTGATGCTTCTATAGAAATTCTGGTGTCTGGTTTTGTTTTTACATTAGTTTCAGACATGCATGGAAGTTTGTGTCAATTAACCCGTTACATAAAATTTGCAAGGCTTTGGTATTCATAAAATGTACCAGAATAAAAAATTGGGAAGCATAATTTTTTAATCAGTTTTAAACTTAAAATGCTTATAAGTGTCACTGACTGTTTATGATAAGAGTAAGATATCTGCCATCTTTCAGAAGCTACCAATGTGAATAACTAATCTAGTTTCAAGAAAGCTGTAAAACTAACATATATATATATATATAACTATATATATGCTCAACTAAAATGCAGAATTGTTACGCAGATGTACGTGCAAATTTTAAGGTTTTATTATGTTTATTTATAGAAATACTACAGCTTCTTTCATGATAATAAGAAATGTTACACAACTAACTCGCAGGTTTAGGGATAGAAATAGACATGTGGCCCTTTCAGAAGAACTCCCTTGAGCTGGATGTTGGTATTAATAACTTAGCAGGATTTAAGTCTTAAATAAAAGATTATCAGTGATATCCTTAGAGCAATAGGTGGGCTAATTTCTTGGGTAAGAGTGAATTATATGCTAAAGATGAGCTCCACAGCAGGTTAGGTAGTAGGATGTTTAAGATGTACTACTAATGCTTAGTTACATAATCACTAATCAGTTAAATGTTTTAAATTAAGAATGCTGAAAAATGTTTTTTGTTCAAAATTTGTGTGAAACAAGCCATGTAAGCATTAAACACTTATGAAATTTGCATTATAAGTATCATCTTGCATCAACAATCTTATTTACTTCTGGTGGTAGCCTTCTTGGAACTAATTTTTATTTCTCCAAAATTTTTATTTTTCCAAAAATAGTAAAATATAATTCCACACAATTTAACACATATATCTAAAGTAGGTACATGCAAACAAGGATGTGTATTATTAATAAATGTGTGAGGTATACACATTTTTTTGAATTTTAAAATTTAATATTTATCTGTCTCCTACTTACAGGAGGAATTAACTAACAGCAACAACATGGCAGTCCAATAATTGGGAATTTGGTTGCTGCAAGTGCAACTGAATTGTCACACGCATGATGTATGATGCTGCTTTCATTGGTAAACTGAACATTCAACAGCACCTGTAAACTTGTTTATGAGTAACCAAGAGTGATTAAGGTCAAGGTCTCTGAGTAAATGGTCACAAAAGTTTGTACTTGTAGTACCTTTAGAATGTTTGGGGAACAGGAAACCAGAAACATGGAGTGTGTTCCACAGATGTTATCCAATGAGGAAATGAAAAGTAAGGAAAGTCAAAGAAAATGTGAATGTAACGATGTTCTCTACTTTACATAGGACAACACTTAGAGATGACGAATGTGGACAATCCTTGACTGATTCATGCTTGTTTGTCAGAGTTAGCAAAGTAAACTGATTATCTTGTTACATGAATTAAACTACAATTGTGACCTTGATGACTTTGCCTGATACAGACTGCATATGGCTTAAGCTCTGATGTAGATCTCGATTGTGAAGTTCATAACTGTTACACATCCACTTTTCAATGATGAAGAGAAATGTGTCAAGGTGGATTTTTTTTTTCTGTTTTGTTCACTTACTTTGCATTAAAATTGTACTTTATAATGTTTATTTCTCATTTGTTTTGTTAGTGTTTCACTCTATAGAATCACTGGTTTAGGGATACAAATCTCTGAGGAAGTTGGAGTGAGTAAAGCAGGTCTATCCATGGAAAAAATAGCTAAGTCAATGAGAAGTTTGTAAATATGAGATTTAGTGCATGACCAGTTCAATAATATAATGTTAAATATATAAATCAATTGAATTTTAAGATAAGTATAGTACATAGTTTCTATTATTCTAGGATTTAGGAAAAACAGTAGCAAGTGGCTCAAACACCCAATCTTTAATATCCTTCAAAACCACAGGGTAAATATAACCTGGCCCAGGAACTTTGTCATCCTTTAAACTTACCAATTTATTCTTAACTAGCTCAGAATGAATGTGATAATCTTATTCAATCTTGTTTCACTCTAGCAACTGTTCAGGTCAAGGAATATTGCTTTAAATCTTCACGAGTAAAATTTCCAGAAAAAATAAAATTTAATAACTCAGCCATACCATATTGACCATATATTAGCCTTCCTGTGTCAGCCGTGAAAGGTCTTTCTTCCATCCTTACATTTTGCTTACCCTGAGTATATCTAAAGAAATGCATACTATTCATATTTTACCTTTTCAGCCAGTCTTTTTCATAGTTTTTCAATTTCCTTATTTTACACTGGACTAACTATCTTGATTTTCTATAATCCTCCAAATCTCCCATCACTGCAGTCAATTTAAACTTCTTAAATTTATAGTTTTTCTTTAATTTTAATCTTTATACCCTTTTTAAGGCAACCTGATTTTTACCTACAGACACTCCTTTTTCTATAAAAAACATGCCTATCCTAAATATTTAAGATTTAAAACTCTTTCCATATTTGATCAGTATCTCCAATCAATTACGTTCCACAATTCACAGTAATTTTTGTCACATCACTTCAAAATTTGCTTTTTTAAAAATTTGGAACCATAATTTCATTATTCTTTATCTCTACCTGCTGCAAAATATCAAATCTAATTAAGCAATCATTATTTGCACCCAGATGTTCACCAATCTCACCCTATCAAACATTTCTATAATAGATGTTAACAATAAACAACAGTATTGTTCCTAGTAGGTTCCCTGCCCAATTGGTGAAGAAAACCATCCTGAACAGTTACTAAAAACCTGCATCTCTCACAATATGACTCTACATTTCCCAAGCTATGTACTTAAAATTAAAATCTCCCATAATAATGAACTCATTAACAGCTGAATGTAATTACAGCTCACTGTAATGTTTTTCATTAATTTCATCAGTTTCATCTGGTGGTCTGTAACAAATTACAACTAAAAGCTTTCGTTCCTTAAAACCACTAAGACAATCCAAACAGATTCAACCTCATTGCTATAGCTTTGATATCCTCAACCTGAACGGGCTATAGCTCACATTTTACATGAAAGCCATTTATCCCTTCTTTTTTGTACTCTATACCTATTAAAAAACCTATAAACCTGTATTTCAAAGAACTTTTGTCACCAAAACTGTTTACTCGTTACCAGGTTTCAGTTATTCCCATTATAAAAAAAAATCCTCTGTTTCAACCAGTGCTCTAAGGTCATCCATTTTATTTCTTATACTTCTTGCATTACAATGTTAATAGTTTAACCTACTATTAAAGTTATAATTTTCCAGTACTGAAAATGTATCTTCGATAGGTACTTAACTCGCTCATCAAAATAGCTATTCTCATTCAATGCCGCCTTCTATATGCACAATTTTTTTTTTGCCATGCCACAAGCCTTGAAGCTCCCACCCATCTGGAATTGACTGATTCCAATGCATTTCACATGCAAATCATCATGTAACAAACCTCCACCAATAAGAGTGCAACATACTCTCTTGACTTATGTGACTTCCTCTATTCAATTCTACCAAACTATCACTTTTATTTTTGGCAGAAAATGAAAACACAGGTTTTCAGTGGGGAGGAAGGGTGGGAAGTGTGAGATAAGGTAAGTACCTATTGGAAATACATTTTCAATATAGGAAAATTATAACTTCCGATACAGTACATCACATCCGCTCACATAAATAGCTAGAATCCCACATCGAAAAGGTGGAGATACCGATGCAAGGAAAATAAGAAGCATCTTCAAAAGCATCCAAAGAGGAGATCTTCGGAGTCAAAGATCATAAGTGGGAGACCATGCCACTTCTGTACCGGGTATACTCTTTGCCCAGTGTGGAAAAAGGTGTCACAGATATGAGCAGAAGTACATAGTAGCACATCCAATAGGAAGAGAACTATGGTTGTATAGGTATCTTAACCACACAATATATGAATCTCAATCCCATAATACATAAATGTGGGTCAGAGTAAAAGGATGTGCCTCCAGGTGTAGAGTGGCTAGGGTGCAACGAACCGTACACAGCAAGTCGACTTCATCCAAAACCCAAGTCACTGGAACCGACATCCATGTGGGGGTAGGAAAGAGGATCGTACTGGTGGCTCGTCAACTACAATCCAAAACCCAGCCATCTGGTGGGGGTAGAAAAGAGGATCATACCATGTTCACATCAAGTTCATGAGACCAGAGGAAATATTGCCCCCCCCCCAACCCATCAACAGGACCCATAACAAAGTGAGAAATTGATTGATCGATCCATGAACCTGGCATAGAAAAGATGTCTGTCAGGTAAACCATCTCACTCAAATTAAAATGGCAGGAGCCACCCCAAGCACAATAACATCCTCGGAATAATAAGAACATTGAGGGAGAGAAGAAGGGGAATAATTGTAGTAATCTGCAAGTATCTCCATTGTGACCCACAACACAGATGGAGTAACAAGAGTATAGATGAGTGAGAGAATAGACATCCTTTATACACATGTGAGGACTTATGTTGATTGGTTCAGCTCTAAATCCAAAACCCAGCCAGGTTCAGAAGAGGGCTACTAAAATGATTCCAGGAATGGAAGGGTTATCTTATTGGAATAAGTTAAGATCTTTTGAATGTTTTCTCTTGAGAAAAGATGGGTAAGAGGTAATCTTATTGAAGTTTCAAAGATTATACGAGGGGTTGATAAGATAACGTCCTCTCATTTCTTTGTGACATATACTGAAGAAAAGGCACAAGTATAAGATTTGGAAAAGATATGCTAGGCTACAGTTAAGGCAGTTTTATTTTTATATTTTTATTTTGATAAGATAACGTCCTCTCATTTCTTTGTGACATATACTGAAGAAAAGGCACAAGTATAAGATTTGGAAAAGATATGCTAGGCTACAGTTAAGGCAGTTTTATTTTTATAACAGGGTGATAGGTTTACGAAATGAGATACCACAACAGCAAAAAAGATGTGCAATTTGTATGTGGAGTTTGTTGGTTTGAAAAGAAGCTATTTTAATTAAAGTACAAGCAACAGATAAAGAGAAGTGAAAATTGTGGGAAATGGCAACAGGATTTCAAGAGGACATTAAGCTTTTAGATGAGATGCAAGGGGTACATCAGCTAAAAATGACTTTCATGAAATTAGAAAGAGTACTATTAAAGCTACAAGCAGTGGATTTAACTGTAATGAGCCTATTCTACTGAGCAACAGATTTCAGCCCTCGGCTTGTGCAGATGAAGAACTATTGTAGGGAAGGAAAACAAAAGGGGCAGAGAAGGATATGGATGATAAACTTAAAGAGGTTATAGAAGATCAAGAAAGTTGGTGATACAGGAAATCAGAACATCAAAAAGGATGTATGAAAAAAATGGTTGGCTTAGAATGTAAAAATTAACAGTAAAGATTTCTTTAAATACATTAAGGGTAAACAAAATGTTAGGATGGGGTAGAACCCTTAAGATATGATAAAGGAAGGCTTGTATGTGATGATTATGAGGTGGCTGGGATATTAAATTCTGCCTTTTCTTCAGTTTTTACTGATGAAAATTTAAGCAGTATTCTTCATTTTGAACAGTTGATAGATGGAAAAAAGGTCAATCAAGATTACTGCATTAATTCTGAGCTTGTTAAGAAAAAATGATGATAAAAGATGATAAGGCTCCTGAGCCAGATAATATTTCCCCAAGAAAATCCTTGGGGAAATATTATCTGGCTCAGGAGGTTAAGAATTGGATATGTGAGCCACTTGCTACTAATTTTTGTAAGTCCTTGAAAAGGGGGCAGATGCTAAAGGATTGAAAATTAACTAATGTCACTCCTCTTTTCAAGGGAGGTGACAAAAATTGTCCCAGTAATTATAGACACATTAGTTTCACATCAGTTGTGGAAGAAGTTTTGGAAAGTCTTATAAAAGATGCTTTGTAAAGTCATTTAACAAAGTTTAGAATTTTATTGGATAGTCAACATGGTTTCACTAAGGGAAAATCTTGCCTTATAAATTTTTTGACATTCATTGAAAAGGTTACTGTTTATGTAGATGAGGGTAAGGGTGTAGATTTGGTGTATCTGGATTTTCAGAAAGTATTTGACAAGGTGCCACATAAGAGGTTTGTAAAAAAAATTATCTCTACAGGTTTGGGGGATAAGTTAGCTAATTGGATAGAAGAGTGGCTGGATGGAAAAAACAGTGGGTTGTTACAAATGGTGTTCAATCAAACTGGATTAATATCACAAGTGGGGTACCTCAGGGCTCAGTCTTAGGACCTTTGCTCTTTTTGAACTACATGAATGACATAGATTAAAGAATGGTCAATAAATTACTTAAACTTGCTAGCTGTGCTGAGGATGCTGCTGCTTTACAAAAGGATTCAGATAATTTAGTGAGTTGAGCAAATAAATGGCATACAAGTCTTAATTATAATAAATGCAAGATAATGCTTGTGGATTATCATAATTAGGATGGGAATAACCCTAACAGTGTCATGAAAGAAAGGAATCTCGGTGTAATGGTTGATCAGTCTCTTAAGCCATCCAAGCAGTGTGCTGTAGCTAGTGGTAGAGCAAGTAGGATTTTAAATTGTATCTACAGAAATGTTGAATATAAGTCTAAAGAGGTTATAATTTCGTAGTATAGGTCACTGGTTAGACCACATTTGAAGTATT